CGTCTTTTAAATACTTCCAGGGATGGTGACTCAACCACTTCCCTGAGCAGCCTGTTCCAAGGCTTGACCACTCTTTCAGTAAAGAAATTTTTCCTAATGTCCAATCTAAACCCCCCTTGGCGCAACTTGAGGCCATTTCCTCTTGTCCTATCGCTGATGTTCTTTTCAGTTTGGAACACCTCTTATTTTTGTAAGATGCATCCTCCTCATACAGCCACCATTGCTCTAAAAGCACTGGTAAGGCATTTTCTTTCACCTGTAACTGTCATTTTTACACTAATTCATGAGTATAATTCTGCAGAACTCTCCATTATGCAGATGACTAAAATTAAATTGTTTGGCATATATATTGTTGTTTGTTTGCGTGTATTCCTGACCCTTACTGGAAACTTACTGGAAGCTGTGATACAGTTCTCATTCACTGGGTATGATTGCATTGGTTATGTTAACTGCCGCCTCATGTTCAGAAGCCATGTTGTGCAGTAAAATAGTGAAGTTAAAATCCCTGTCTGAAGGGGATATCCTAGTAATTCAGGCATAGAGGCACTTAAGTGGGTACACATCCCTTCCCAATGGCAACGTCTTCTGTCAAAGTGTTGGTGGAACAGGCCTGTGGCTGTTTGCATTGGCCATGTACAGTATGTACAAGAGGTATGCAAGCTGGGGCAAGTGCTAGAAATAGCACATACTTTTAGCAGGGAGGTATAAATAACGGTATGGAGAGACCTCGAAGAGAAGTTGTAGCTTCTGTGGTCAGGGAAGTGTTGAACTGTAAGCATGGTAATATTTCAACCGTAAGATAAGAGTACTGGAGGTGTGCCTTGGTTGTGTTCAGGGACCTGCATTATGCTGAAAGTAGAGTCAGATGATTGTGATTTTCCTTCCTAGCTTACTTAGGTACTTTACTGTTTATGAAATTCAGATCTCAGCATATTTTTGCAAAACTGTTTCAAAAAGCTGTTAGTAACCAGGAATTAATCTCCTTTTGCTTATATTATAGGCAGTACATATATATAAAATACCTTGGACTGAGCCTCAGTGTGGAGTATTGTAGCTTAAACACGTCACAGATGGATCCTGGTGAATGCTGTGCTAGTAATTCTGCTGTGATTACAATTCAGGGTTTTGGGAACAATTTTGAGAGTTAGTGATCTCTGAAACACATGGGAAAGAATATGAATCAGTAAGAAAGTGACTAATAAAGCAAGGGATGCAGGCAACAATCTTAGTAATTTTAGCTGAAACATTGATAAAGACTTGTATCAGGTCACAGTGATATCCATGCAACTGTCTGGGCTTTCGCTGGCAGATTTTTTTAATCCAGTTGTCTGCTGGAGAGCAGACAATTGCAGCTTTCCCTTTCCTGATTTTGTATGCAAGGAGATCTAATTCATGCTTGCTGTTCAGATAGATCCACAGACTTTACAAAGAAGGAAGCACTATTAATTAGTAAGAGAAGCTTGCCTAATATACTTATGAATTACAGCCACAGCATATGTTCGAGCTGTTTCAGTTAAAAGAACTGCTTGACATTTGAGTTGTATTCTGTATTGATCTGTTTTCTGAGACAGTCAACACAAGGAGATATCTTTTCTTAAAAGGCTTATAAAATTAAAATACGTCTTTTTAAATTAGTATGTTATCATAGCATCTTTGATAGCTTGATGCTTTCTGGAATAGGGATCTCTAGAACTAAATGGCAAAGACTCATGCTGAAGACCATGGAAAAGTTTGTTTTGCAGGGGAGACTGGATAACTAATGTTACTTTTTGACTGACAGTTGTAGAATAGTCTCAATATTTATTCAGAGGAGATATCTCTGTAAGCCATAACAATCTTGCATCTTTTCTGTCTTCCCTCTCCATCTGTACAGGCATGGTCTCTGTGAACGTGTCCATACTGGTAAATAATAGAGTGAGCTGAAGTGTTTTGATAGCTCACAATGCTGCATTTTATTAGCTTGCTCCCGGGCTCTTTTTTGTATTGCTCAAGGAACTTTCTCTCTGATTAATCTGTTATAGGAAGACATAGTCTTAAATAGTGAGGACAGAAGCCAGTTGATCACATTAGATCTCAGCATCAGGGATTAGTCTCAAGCCCTCTTTTTTTAGGCAGTATAAATGTGGACCAAAGAAGTTTTTCTCCTTTCTCCAGGATATAATAAAATACTGTACATGACTTACTGCCACAAATCTGGGGAAGTAAGTGGCTTTTTTAGTGGGAATATGGTGAAGGTAGTCAGTCATAATTAATATGTTGTTGTTGATATTCAGAGTAACAGGACATAGGTAAGAGTGTACCATAAGTATTCGTAGTCAGTTAATACAAAAAGGAGTAGAGTTATTCAGCATGCAAAAAGGATCACTTCAAAGGAGATGTTCATGAAATGGCAAAAGGAAACTTAAGACAATTTTTAAGTTGCTGGCTCCAAAATCTCTTTGTCTGTGGAAGAGTTTCTTTTGAGAAGATAGGTCCCAGTTTTACAGGCACAAATGAAAATTCAGCTGCATAGAAAATAGATTTTTTCAAAGCAGTAGGCTGCAGAGAAAAGCTTTGCAAGATGACACTATAAATAAAAAGTTACTCATTTTAAAAGATAACATTACAGTGGGGTGAGGGGAATAAATAGAAGGGAGAAGAAACACAGATTCACTGTGGCTATGAGTAAGTGCCTACAGAGAATGTGTTGTTTCTCTTTTCTAGTTTCCTTGCTAGTTTCCAGCCAATACTGGAAAACAAGGCTGCTGCTGTAGCTTGTGCACTACGAGAGAGACTTTTTGGTCAGCATTGTTTAATAAGTTATTTTTACCTTGAGTTCTAGCTTCCAAGTGCCTTGTTTTCTGAACTTGTTATTAATGGCAATATCTGGAAAGCCCACATGAAATACAGTCTCTCCCTGAAGGAGTCAGTGTCCTTTTTAAGATAGAATGCTGGGCAAAATGAAAGAACGAGAAACTCTTATCAGAGGATATATTTCCAGATACAGAGAAGGTATTGGGAATGGCTCTGTAATATGCTGCTGGAAGTATATAGAATCATAGAATCATAGAATCATTAAGGTTGGAAAAGACCTCTAAGATCATCAAGTCCAACCGTTAACCCAACACCACCACGCGCACTAAACCATGTCCCTATGTTTGACATGTTACACTGCCGTGCTTTTTTAGCTAACAGGAAATAAAGATTATGTTCCCAGCTGATGTATTTTGCATGGGAAGGGACTTCTGGTCTTTCTAGAGTGTCTCAGCAGGGCCAAGTGGATGTTGTGAGGTTATTTTTTTGGCTCCGTTGTGGCAAAATTGCAAGCTTGTTGTGTGACAAAGACTCAAGACTGTAGCTTTTCCTATGGCACAACAGTTACCTCCCTGGTTACTGTTAGCTTATAGTTTAGTTGCAAATATAAACAACGTTTGATCATGGTCACTGAAATGTTACCTGCAGTTAAACAGAACTGGATGTTGTTTGGTCTTCTCCATACTAGGGAGTGTTGGCTTTCCTTATACTACTTGGTATTTCCCATTTCTCAACACCAAGTAATAGCTAAAGTGTTAAATGTGCCTTTTGCCTCTCTCACTCTCTCGTCTGTAAAAAGCTAATGCTATTACTTTCATAAAACTTCTTTGAGGACTCATTTTTTTATGAATCACTTGGAGATCCAAGAGAGAAGATCAGATTTTCCTGCAAGTTTCTCTTATACGTGAAGCTACATTTATTTCCAAGAAAAATGTGTTTCCAGGTCTCTCCTGAATTAAGTGTGTGTGAGCTGCAGCCTTCAGCCACAGGTGTACCAACAATACACTTCTTCCATACACACTCTTGTCTTCCAAGAAAATGGCAAGCATTGGTCTAAGCCTTAGTAAAAGGCATTGAAAATACAAGATGTTCTGTGTATCCTCTGAAGAAATAACTGAATGTTTGCAACTCCAGAACATTGTGCTTGTGACTTCGGTTGATTCAGTTAAATGAGCAGCACAAAGTTTGCTTCAGACGAAAAGTGTTTCCTGTGACTGATACAAGGATGGCTTTTTCTGGAACGGTGGAGGACCAGGGAGTATGAGGAGGATGGAGAGGCCTGGACTGAAGTTGACAGCTTCCTCCCTGCCTCGTGGCTTTTACTCTCACATGGTAGCATCTATGTGTTTACAGCATACCACACTGCTCTGAACTCATCAGGAGCCAAGTGCATGTTTCAGCTCACAAAGACCAAACATCCTTCTTGTAGGCTTTATCACAAACTGCGCCTTGTCCAAATGAGTAAGTGTCAATAAACAGAAAACACCTAGGGAGAGATTACTTCAGTCTGCAGTCTCCCAGTGTTAAAATGTTTTGTCCAGTCAGTTTCCAATTTCACCTGTTTGTTGCATTTTGCTTTGAAGATTTGCAAAATATCCTCCAGAAAGGATTTCAGGGAATGATACAAATGTTTCTTGGAAAAAACTAGGCCAGTGAAGAGAGCTGGATTGTAATGCATGCATTTACACAACCTAATAAGTAGGAGGGAGCTAAGAAACATTGTGGCTGTGATTACAAAGCCACTTACTTTATAGTGTTGGTAAAGACACTTATCTGAAGTGTTCGACTTTTCTTATCTTTGGAAACGCTACCTTGGTACTATATCTGGTGACTGTGAGACTTCACTTATGTGCAAAAAAAAGTAGATAAGTCCCAGGTGAAATAAGTTGTTGTTGGAAGGGTACTATTGAAAAATCTTAAAGTTCTTTTTGGAAGAAAATGCATGTGCTGAAATCATCAGCTATATTAGCACTGATTTAGAATTTGGATTACAAATACTGAGGACTAGTATACATTGCCTTGCTGTATGCACTACAGTTTCCAGCAGCGTTGGTGACAGAAGTGTTTCATGGTGAGAAAACAATGCTTGTTAAAGCTGTAGGAGGGATTCTTAAGAAAGCTTTTGGACAGGGGAGAGTTAATTTGCACTTTTAGGAAGAAAGACACTTTTATTGAGGCAGTAACAATTCTTTTTTCTTTGCCTACAGGAAGGAGTTGAAGTGAGGGTTGCCAGAATATTCAATACCTTTGGTCCTCGAATGCATATGAATGATGGTAGAGTTGTCAGTAATTTTATCCTACAAGCCCTCCAGGGAGAACCACTAACAGTAAGTAATGACCTTTCAGTGACGTGAAGAGTTGTTCATCTTTATATCCTGTCCTCATGTGCTGTGAAAGAGGCTGGATTTTAGAAAACACTGGGGTTTCCCTCCCTCTGAAAATCTAATCTTTCAGTATATTAAGCTCAAGTGTATAGAATTACGTATCCAAAGATGTGCTCTGTTGATGGTATTGGTGTTCCTTTCCCAGAGAGAAATAAGACTACCAGTTGCAATCTGAGAAAGTGTTTTAGTCATTCTGAACTTGAATCTCTGTCTGTCACGACTCTTCTG